GCGCCCCATCTATGGAATGCGCTCCCCAGAGAGGTCCGCCTGGCACCATCATTATATATTTTTCGGTGCCAGGTGAAGACCTTTTTATTTAATCAATATTTTAATAAGTTTTAATATTGAATTTTATCACCATATTTTAATTGCAGCCAGAGTGGGTTGTTAATTAATTGTTATGTTAGATATTTGTATTTTATTTAAGCCGTCCTGAAGCTCTTGCAAAGGACGGCATATAAATATCCTAAATAAATAAATAAATACTGAGGCTCCATAGAAGCCGTGTTCCTAGAATCTTCCCAGAGCATCCTAGGAAGTGGGTCTTGAAAGCTCTTTCCAGCATCACAGGAAACCCTAGAAAAAAAGAGCATCTATAGCAGAAACTATAGATGCTCTATAGACTATTTCTAGAGCATTTTCTCCTTTTTTATCTGGAGGGTGTCGGGAAACAACTAGTAAGAGAGTGTGGATGTCAAGATTCTTCAGGAAGAGAATGGATTAATTGAGGGATAAGAGCTAGCAAACATGATTCATCAAGGTTAGATGGCTTGAAAAGAGAAGTTTCTGGGAGAAGGAAGTGCCAGGCCTCTTAAACACTCTTGAGCAGGACACAGATAGGAAGTTGCATTTAGTTATATATGAATGTGCATGGATGCATATATATTTTGTTCCAGCAACCCTAACAGATTCCAGACTCAGGGTTGAAAAGGTTGTGTGCTCCTGATATACACACTTATGGTTTAGCACAAGAACAAATATATATGTATGTGAGAGATAATGAAAAATCAATGCAATGCATATTTAATCTCAGATAAATTGATATAAATAATTGCAGAGAGCAAACAAGGTGATACCCTCTTGTGTAGTAATTACATTTTCTATGACATGGGAACTTATGCAAGGTTTACTAAAGTGAGACATTGTGTGGCTACATCTGTTAAGACTGTGCTTCATTGGTTCTGCAGAACCAACTAAATTCCTTTTTTGCAGGATTCTCTTACACAGTGGCCCTTACACCCCCTCTTTATAATTACAGGTATGGAACTTCCAGCAAGATGTTGCAGCGTGTCCAAGCATTCTGATTCGTGGCTCTAGTAAGCCAGAATGGCAGCTTTGTTCAGGGTCCGAGATTTGGAGCATGGGATAACATGGTTTCAGCAGTGGAAAAAGGGCCTATTTATTATTTCCTGCTCTCCTGAAACTGTCCTTGGTTGTGCTATATGTTTAATTGCCAGCCTCAAACCAGCCTCAAACCAGAGCATTTTGTGAAAGCCTTCCCATTTAGCACAGAGAGGAGTGTACGTGTTTTTTAAATCTACTATAATCCCCTGTGGATAGCATAAGCATTTAGGGGATCAAACATACCACTTCTGCCCACTTTTCCCAAATAGACACTTTTAGTTTTCTGTGGCTCCAGTGCCCTCAATATACCATACACCTTAGAAGACACTTAGCAAAGGTCCTTGTAAGTCTTTATTTTTATTTAACAATTTAGGTATTTTTGTGAGTATGCAAAAAACTCAACCTTATTTTTGAGTGGGCTTGCATCATGCCCCAAAATAATCATTTAATTATCTTCTTATGTTGAGTCATAATCCATCCAGTCCAGCATTCTGTTCAGTGCAGTCAACAGTACTCACTGAAAATCCAGAAGCAGGACCTGAATGCAACAGCACTTCTCACTAGTGTTCCCTAGCAACAGGTGTACATAGGCACACTGCCTCCGACAGAAATTGCTTGCTTGCTTGCTTATTTATTTATTTATAACATTTATATCCCATCCTACATGAGAAAAACGTCCCAGGACAGCTTACAATATTATAATAATTAAAACAACAACAAATAGGAAAAAATATAACAATTAGTAACAACAAATGACCACCACAAACAACAAGAACATATCATTAAAAATCCAAATCAAACAACAAAAGCAAAAACAAATATAAAAACAAAAACAGAAAATGACTGTGGATATTAAAACCAATTAAAATTTCTAATTCTTAAAATGACGGGAAAATAAAAAGGGTTTCACCTGGCGCCAGAAAGAATATAAAGTCGGCGCCAGGCAAACCCCTCTGGGGAGCGTATTCCATCATGATTAGTAGCCACTGATACCATTATTCTGAATGAGCTTGTTAGTACTAGAAAGAACAAGAAGAGAACGAAGTACTGCGGTATACCACCAATTCATAAGTGTTCCTTTTCACAATTCTAGGAAGCCTGGAGTAGAAACCGTTTTTTTGTTTTTCAGGGCCCATAGGAATGAGGGATATTTCATAAGAAAAAGGAAGGAAGACACTGGCCCCTTATCACTGTTTTCCAGTGATCTAATTTAGCTCCCATTTTATTAATACTTACCATCTGATTTTACTACTGGAGAGAGTAACTAACACCCCAGTACTGAATTAGTGCACATTCTTCCTTCTGCTATTGGAACACATAATAAAAGGATACAAGTGGAATAAAAAGGCTAACAGAATTTAACCTTCTTGCAATTTAATTTTACATGAGTAGTTGACATGCAATACAGGAACATCCTTCAATTTCTCTTTCATTCATTGGCTCACATTTGGTGCTTGTGTGAATTGTTATTTGATCCTTCAGTACTCTTCTGTTAGACCTGTATCCTGTGCTAACATATTGCAATTCAGGACAACTGAGTTGTCTAAGCAAGTATAATGAATATTCTGATCCTGATTTACAGTAACTTGCACCTTGATTCCAAGATATGAATCTTGTTAGCTGATGCTTAATTTCTACAGCACTAAATACATACCCCCCTCCCCGCAAGTTTGCATATTTATGGTCTCACCGTTTTCGGCAATACAATTTTTGTGGAATATTGAACCACAAGAAGCAGCACCTCAATTTGTGGCTGAAAATAACTTCTGCAGAATAACAAAGTGGGTGGCAAACAAAAAGTACATTGTAAGGCATCTAAGCGAATAATATGATGTCCACAGTAGATAAAAGGTTATAATTTTCAAAGTATACATTGCTATAAATAAAGTTAGGAGTTATTTGCTGAAAAATGCATAGGATTCAGCCTGCAATCACATAGCTACTATGTGCATATGCTATAAAAAAGCTGTCTACTGTTTGAAAGTAGACACACTGGCACCACATGCATTGTTTGGGCTAAGAGCTATGGTGAATAGCGCTGCGTAAAAGCAACTTTAAATATGCTACCGCTTTGAATTTAACCTCCTTTAAACATAAATAACAGCTATTCCTTCTTTGCATTTCTATGTTACATGGAAAAGAAGAAAAGGCTTGCCAAAGATTTTTTTCTGGGATTTCAGTAGTTTCTGGCTAGAAAAGCTAAATAATTTACTTTCTTTATGCTTTATTTTCCAAAAGACACGAAGGTACCATCTCAAGTCACTTTTTTAAAGCCAAGTGCCATGTCTTTTGAAAAACAAGCTAAACAAAGGAAGAAAGGTAAAGATATATTTCTCTCAGTAAATGTCAGTCACTTACAAGGTAAGAGGCAACATGAGCAAGCTACAATAAAAATGAACAGAATACTACTTGATCTTGGCTATATTTAGATGATAAAATCTTGGCTTAATAAGACAGGAAATGTAATGAGCCCTGTCCTTTGCTTCCAATTCATCCCTGTGTTCACATGAGTGGCATCAGAACTAGGAACTATGATTAATAGCTCCCAAAAAGTCTGATTAGGCAGCTCACTTTAAAATATAACTTTATATAATCCTGGTGATGGCATTTATCTTTTTATATTAGAATTGTAACTTGTTATTTACTACATCATAGTGTTTTCATTTTGTTTTTTCTTAGAGTCAGTGCAATTTATAGAATAAATTTTATAAAGTTGTTAATATAATAAATAAAAATAAATATCTGGTGTTTTAAGCTAATCACGCAAGCAGAGGAGTGAATTTCCCACAAAGGACTGAATGTAGGTACATGCAGCCCATGGATATCATAGTTTATTATTAACCCAGGAGTTGATTACCCAAACCAGACCACTGCCATTAATTTTTACTATTAAGTGAATGTACAGCCTGCAAAGTAGCATAAAGTGGAGTATCTGAACCTTTGCACAATTATCAAGAGATAAACACTGAAGTATAACTCCTGCAAATTTGGCTAAAAAGAAATAATCCTTAAATAGTTCTAAAATATCCTTTAAAAACAGTAGTATATATAAAAGCAATCAATATAAACTTTCACTACATTCTGTATTAAAAATGTAGGAAAGCCTTAGTACTGTGAAAACATGCAACATCCTTGAGTCAATAAAAATATACACTTTAATCTTAAAAACATTTTGGCCAGACTATTTAAGGTCATGTAAATGAAAATATGAGTGACTCTACCAAAAGGCCAGGCAATATTTCAGTTTCTAAGTGGTTGGGAAAATATAAACAGCATTAGAATGAAGAACAAGGACACAGTTCATTTTCAGGTGAACATGAAGAACACGGACACAAATTTGACCACCTCTTCTAATGTAGGTAAATATAAGAAGAGATAAGGAGTCCTGCACATGTTGCTACTTTAAGAAGCAGAGTGGGGGAAAAGGCCCTTACACTGTAGAGATCTGTCTTCTATATGGAACTGTAAATTCTGGTGGGGTACAAAGCCTGTCCTTATCATCATTACTAAATTCCCTTTTCCTGCCTGTACTTTTCATTCCATACCCTAAAGATTCTCATACAGACTGTTTCTCCCCTGCTGTTATTGCGAGATTGCAGGGGGGGAGGGGTGTGCATATGCACATTCACATGTGAGCATATATATCTGCATGCATGAGGCCCATCTGGCTCCTGAGGCTAAAAAGGTTGTGTACCTGTTTTATGCTCACTTCCTATTGTAGATGGAAGGAAAATGAACAAACAAAATTTTGAGGCAATGTCTAAAATGAATGAGGGCTTTAGGAGTCAATTATTCAACAATGAAGAGTTACACAAAGCCCACTGAAGTAAAATATTACATTTGCATCATACCTACTAGACTTCTATCACGAATGCTTTACTTACTTTCCATCTACTTCTGGTCGCTTGCATACACAGTGAAATTTGCCACCAAAATCTATGTAGAGATCATCTCCTAAGATGTAGAAAATTTGTCCAAGAACGATTTTGTCTTTGGCAGGTCCCATCTGAACAAAAGGAGAGCGCCTCAACATTGATGCAAATGATTCCTCACTCTTTGAAGGCACCTAAACATATGGGTAACATTAGAAAGAAGTTAAAAGATATAGCTGTTGTACTTTTAACCAAGTCTTGAATTGTCCTTCATTTAAATAATATAATCTAGAATTGTTTATACTTAGCATCCTTTTAATTTAGGCCAAGTGGGCCCCCAATTTAGAAATCATCATATGCAGCAGAAGACACCCACATGCACCCAAACAATTGGCTGGTAATATGTTTTGACTTGCTGTGAGGACAGAAGAGACAGACTCCTTTCACCCCTGCCAAATAAGTGATTAGTGCTGCCAAAATCAGCATACCAAGCACTAGTACTCTGCAGTGCTAAGCATATTTACATTTTAAGAAGTGGTAGGAGGATAGTAGTACAATTTCAGTCTGAAGGGCATGATGGGTTGGGAGCAAAGGAGAAGGAAGGGTAAGTGAAAGCCAACAAGAAAGGTGTCTAAAAAACAAGCTGCTGGGGGAGGAGGGTGGCAGAGAATAGTGAGCAAAAGATTAGGATGCCTGAGGGTCCCTGGAATTTTTTGGGGCGGGGGCACTAAGTCTGAAGGAAAATAAGCCATAATAAATATAAACTATCCTCAGAGTGAGGCCACCTAGCTTCTCAGCAGGTAAGCAACCCACAGGCTAACCAACTTCTTTATTCACTGCCATGTGTGCCTTGGGAACTTGGCTCTTCAAGCAAAAGCAAATGATTACAGTTTATCTTAGCTGCATACATACATCACCCTCATAAATACATGGAACAAGGACTTATCCTATTGTGACATTGTCAGTCCAGGCAAGACATATTCTCATCTCCATACACTGGCAATGCAGCCCAGTAAGTTATGAAACAATACCAGATGCCGGCAGTGCTACCCCAGCAATTTCCTCATGAATGCGTACTAGGGTCACACAAGACCACCTGTAGACCATCAGCTGTGGCAAGACCACGTACGTACCAGATCACCCATTTTGTCACCTTGGTCATCAACTTATAGGACATCAAAATATTGGACAGTAATCAAAGTTTTGTATAAAACTTTGCTAATGGTATGGAGACCTTAGAACTAAGAATAGAGGCCTGAGTAACCAACTGACTGAGAATTAGGGTGCCCCTTTAACTAAGACATTAAGTTCTAGGGCTGCAAGCCAAAAACAAACAAACAAAAATGGAGAGGGAATTTCTTATACAGCAAGCATAAATTCAATAAACAAGGTGGTTCCTTTTTCTTCTGAAGCCAATATACCTAGAACAAATATTTAAACATACTGTTAATGTCAGCAAGTTTCTATAGCACTTAGTGCAATATCTATAGAATTAGTAAGAATATATACATACAAAGAAACAACCAGTTAAATGAGAAGGTTAAGCAACAGGCCAAGAGAAAGCAAATATTAGCACCATCCTGTTTTATACTAACAAGTACACAACCCTTTTCATCTCAAACCCTAGTATGAATAATGAACTAAGAATTCCTAAACCACTATGTTATCAGATCACAGTAACAGAAACTGGTTTTCATTTCAGGATCTATTTGGTCTTTATCTGAAAAACACATGGTACATGATTAGACATAGGGTGTCTTTGAAGATAAATGTGTATTTATGTACATAGGCTGAGAGCAAAACTAATAAGGTGAGGAGAGAAGGTAATGAGAATCCAAACACAACCTGACTTTAGTACACATAGAATGTGCAATCTGAATATTTGTTGAGCCATGAAACCTAAAATAACAATTGTTAAAACACTAGAGATAAATACAAATACAGTGAGAGACCTAAGTACCTTTCCCAATCCTTGCTACTACTGCCTCATAATTAGTAGCCTGATGACTAAAAAGTGCTGACAGAAAAAACAAACAAACAAACAAACAGAGCTACATAAGGTGACAAATTATTCTAGGTCAACATGTTCCCTGAAGCTGAACTATTCTTGCCTAAGACACTAACCACTCATTAGTCATCTTAAAATAAAAGATGAGTTACCTTTTCTGTCTAAGGAAAAAAGGGGTAGAATATAAATGCAGGTTATATGTAGTATCTAAAGGAACGTCTGTGTCCATATATGCCCTCCCGCCCCCTACGATCGGCAGCAGATGCCCTTCTCCGGGAACCCTCCATGAAGTATATTAGGAGGGTGAGTACCTGGAGGAGGGCCTTTTCTGCGGTGGCGCCCCACCTATGGAATGCGCTCCCCAGAAAGGTCCGCCTGGCGCCATCATTATTTGCTTTTCAGTGTCAGGCAAAGACCTTTTTATTTAAAAGTTATTTTAACTGTTAATTTATTATTATTGTATTTACAGATTTTAATATACAGCCCAGATGGTACCAGTTTTTAAATTATTGATTCTATTTTATGTATGTTGTGAGCCGCCCTGAGGCTTTGTTGCGATGGGGGCGGCATAAAAATGTTTTAAATAAATAAATAAATAAATAAATAAATAAAATTTATATAAATGTATGCTAAACCATAATTTTTTGAACTGTAGTTTCATGAACAACCCAGGATCTAGCTCATGAATGAACAAAGGCACTCCTGTTTATTTCACATGGTGATGACTTGTTTCCCTACTACTGGGAATACTATGCTCCTATTCCAAATTTGATACAACTGAGGACTGGCATGGACTCACCAGATTACCAGTTTTCTTACCATTGACTAGCCGCCAAAATAGAGTAAGAAGCATTACTACTTTCTTCCTTTGATAGTTTCAACCACTCCCCAAGCCAAATGTAGCCCCAAAGCCTCCTTCCTTTCCACAGCTTTCAGGCATTCACTCACTCACCACTCACTATCTCGCTTTTTTCTTACAATTAATTCAAAGTGGCTTACAGCATTCTCCTCCTGCTCTCAGTCTTATTCCCACAATAACAACCCTGTAAGGTGGGTTGGGCTGAGGGTCTGTGACTGTCCCAAAGTCACAGTTGGCTCCATGGCTGAGTGGGGACTAGATCCCAGATCACCTTCCCGAAATTATTTCTTATTCCTTTCATCACAAATTTCCTGAACAACAGAAACTCTTGCTGTAAAGCTTCCACCTGCTTTCACAGGCTTTTAAAGAAATTTGCTGGCAGTCCAAAAAGTGGTATGTGAAAACTCTCCAGTTGATACACAAAGCACCTAGCACTCGTTGTGAAAAAAAATCCATCAAACACAGATTCCTTCTATGCAATTTATATTTCAGGAGAAAACCCTGTCTGTGAATTCATACCCAATTTCATAGCTATCAGACATGTAAAATGAACTCTTTCCACAGACATGTTTGAACTAAGTAACAATCTATAGCATACCTGAGCCTGATTGAAATCAGGACTCAACTTCCTGGCATCACCACTAGCCATGAAATTAATGTTTTTAGACAACTATACACATGTGTGCACATGCACACACACAAACTTTTATCCTGGCATTCTGAATTTCATAACCTCACTGGATAAGATGTGTGTTGATAAATTTATAGAACATCGTTGAGGTATCATAAAAAACTGGAATTCACAGCTGCCTATTAGAAACTCATCTAGTTTCCATCCCAGCCGTAATTTGTATAGAAGGTTGCCTGTACTTCATTTCCCCTCCAGTCTCATGGCTGGACTTACTAGCCAGAAAAATACTAAGCCTGTATCTCCTTTATCCTACTTAATTGTGTGTATATTCCTTATCATATTATTCTAGAAAATTCCCAGTACTTATCAGAATGTTTTCTCATCACCACCCATCACTACAGCTCACATTCTAGGAAGGCATTCATATCAATCGTGTGTACAGGCAGTACTGGGATGAATGGGAGCAAACAAACTGAATCTAATCCAGGTAAGGTGGAAGGACTGTTAGCTGAGAAGATCACTGATATGGATGTATGTGTGCAGTCAGTTTTGACCAAGGTCATACTCCCCCAATATGTACAAGGTAAGGCAATTTGAAGTTAGTTTTTGATGTATGTATGTATGTATGTATGTATGTATGTAATTAGCGAGTTTCTATGCCGCCCCATTCGCCGAAGCCTCGGGGCGGCTCACAGCAATAAATGCATATCAACCATATAAAAACAATATAGTAACAATATAATTGGAGACGTCCTGGCCAAAGATATAAAATCAATAAATAATGTTAACAATTAAAATGACATTTAAATAAAAAGGTCTTGGCCTGGCGGCAAAAAACAAATAACGACGGCGCCAGGCGGACCTCTCTGGGGAGCGCATTCCATAGATTGGGCGCCACCGCAGAGAAAGCCCTCCTCCGGGTACTCACCCTCCTAATTTCCTTCACGGAGGGTTCCCGGAGAAGGGCCTTTCTCTCAAGGGGCGGGGGGGGCACGTATGGACGTAAGCGCTCCTTTAGGTAACCAGGACCCAAGCCATTAAGGGCTTTATAGGTAATAACCAACACCTTGAATTGGCCTGGACTTCAATGGGGAGCCAGTGAAGCTGACGGAGGACTGGAGTCATGTGAACATAATGCCCAGTCCCCATCAGCAGCCTGGCAGCTCTATTTTGAACAAGTGAAGTATCTGGACTGTCTCAAGGGCAGCCCCATGTAGAGCGCGTTGCAGAAGTCTAGTCAGGAAGTTACCAACGCGTGTGTCACTGTCGCCAGGCAGTCGTTCTCCAGGTAGGAACGCAGCTGATGGATCAGCCGAAGCTGAAAGAAAGCACTCCTCGCCACCCCTGTCACCTGAGCTTCCAGTGAAAGCTCTGGGTCAAGGAGCACTCCCAAGCTGCGAACCTTCTCCCTAAGAGGGAGTGCAACCCCATTCAGGACAAGGTCAAGGTCCCCTTCCCCGAAGTCCGATCTGCCTACCAACAAGACCTCCAATCTTGTCTGGACTGAGCTTCAGTTTGTTGGCCCTCATCCAGGCACCGGTTCAGTACAGCCACTGCCTCACCTGGATTGGTAGAAAACGAGAGGCAGAGCTGGGTATCATCAGCGTACTGATGATTCTGCAGCCCATACCTCCTAATGACCTCTCCCAGCGGTTTCATGTAGATGTTAAATAGCAACATCTATTAACATAGATGT